CATATTTCTTACTTATCGTTTGTTATTTTTTCAAATTTATTTATGTACACATTGCTATGCTTCAAGTTATAACTGCAAGGGATATGAGTTCTCACTAATTTTCCATCAGTATTTCATGTTTGTATAGGTAACATATTTTATCTATTTCAATTGGCCACAATTATAAATATTAAATTAGCATTCTTCTTCCTTTGCATAAATAACTCATTCATTAGTTATAATAAAAATTTTTAATTTTAAACAATACATTTGAATCATACTGTCTATGCATTGTATTCATTTTAAATTTTAATAATTATTCAACGCACATATTTTACATGCCAAAATTAAATATATTATACAGTCGCGCAAAGTGCAGGAAACTGCCTAGTGATAACTAATGTTTAATGCTTCATTATTGGTATTTCAAATGAGTTTCTTGACATTTTTTTTAGATATTCAATTGTTGTCTACATGGTTGTTCTCAAATATTGACCAATCCTATAAATAAAAGCACATATTATATACTCATTACATCAATTTTTTTTTTATTAAATAACAATATTAGTCTTAAAATAGAAAATGTGTCTTTCTTAAAAATTAAAACCGCTTCCCCTTCTAAATGATAATTTGTTCATAAATTGGGCTAAAATAATATTTTATAAGAAAAAAATCAGAACAAATAAATATAAATGGACAAAAAATGTATTACCAAAAATATATCACATATGAATTGTAATAAATAAAGCAATAGCTTTTATACCTTTTATCTAATTTTGTTTTTCTAAATTTATTAGTTATATTTCTTGCTTATTATTCATAATTTTTTCAAATTTCTTTATGCATGTATTTTTACGCTTAAGTAATTATTCCAAAAATATATAAGTCCTGACTAATTTTTCCACCAGTATTTCATATGTTTTCTCTACTTCAATTGGCGATATATAAATACTATAGCATTCTTTTTTTTTTTTCAAATTTATTAAACAAATAACTCATTTTTTTTGGTTAGAATAAAAATTTTTAATTTTACATGATACATTTGAATAGTACTATCTATACATTGTATGCACTTTAATTTTTAATAGTTTATTGAATATCTCAAAAATAAATATATTACATAGCTGCATAATGCACAGAAAACCACCTAGTCATTATATTATATTATATTATATATATAAAGGAAAATTAATGTGTTTTCTCCGATGCAGATATGGTACTTCCTCTAAAAAGTTAGATTGTATAGATTTTGAGTTTTTTTTTTTTTTTTTTAGATTGTATAGATTTTGTAGTTTTTTTTTTTTTTTGGAAATTTTGAGCATTTCTCTTTTTTTTAATTCCATTTTCCTCTCTCATTCATTTACCTTTTCATATTAATTGTCCTTTTCATTTTTGTTGAGTTTAATTCATTACATATGCAATATATAAATTTAAAATAATATTCAATTACATTATTTTAGATTTTCATAATATATATTAATATATTATATATAATATATATATTATATATATTATATATATATTAGTTTTTAAATTCAAATCAAATTTTGCTATTTTTTCGGTAGAAATCAAATATGTGATAAAAAAAATATACAATATCTAAATCTTTAAATTTTCATAAATTACAAATATAAAAATTTTTATTTTATTCGGGATATTCAAATTCAAATTATTGTTTATATTATATTGAATTTATCATAGAAAAGACTATCTATGTGGTTTTTCTTATTTTGATTTAAAATTCAAAGAATTGGGCTGATGTGAAATTAATGGTTTTAGCTTTTAAAAATGGTTTCTTTTTTTTTTTTTTTTTTTTTTTTTTTTGCTGCTTAGAATTTTGAATATTTATATATCATCATATATAAAACAGAAAGTTCACTATTCTATTTTTTATTTTTTTTTATAAAAATTTTTAATTTTTTTGTCTAATTATCGAAAGATTAACTTAATTCTACTTTAATTTCTTCAGTTTATTACGAAAAAGAGATCATCTAATGGAATTTCCACTTAAACTTTGTTTGGGTTGTTTACCTTCTTTGTTTTTTCATTACATTTTTAAAATTTTGCTTGCTAAGTTATTTTTATTTATTTTTGTAGGATTTAAGTGTGTGCAATTCAAAGGATTTAAATATGTACTTATATGCAATGGATGAACTAACTAATTATGTTTTAATAGATAATAATTTTTTTTAAATTACATAACTTCCAATTTAGATTAAATCTCTACAAAAATAAAATTTAAGTATTTAAATTTTTTTTAAATACCTACAAGACTTACAAGACTTTATATATAATAATAATTCTAATCACTTTTTTTTTCTTAAAAAATGATTTTCTATAATTTACTCAACATATATATCTTATATTTGAAATGCAAAATATAATTATTATATAGCCATCGAAACGTGGAGGACCGCCTAGTGTGTGTATATATATATAAAGGAGAAATATTGTGTTTTCTATATGTTGATATGGCACTTTCTTAAGAAAGTGAAATCTCTAATATTTGATCATTGTGATTTATTTTTTCTTTTTGTAAATTTTTTGAGCATTTCTCTTTTTTTATCCACTTTTTCTCTCCCATCATTTAGTTTTCAATAATTAATTGTCTTTTCATTTTTACGAGCTTTAAATTCATTTAATTATTGCAATATAAAAATTTAAATATTTCAATTATATTTTTTAGATTTTCATTATTTACATATACTATTAGTTTTAATTATATTTTTTTATTGGTCTTTAAATTCAAATTAAATATGCTATTTTTTTTGTGGAAATTAAATATGTGATAGAAAAACAATACAATGTCTAAATCTAATGTCTAAATCTTTAAATTTTCATAATTTTACAAATATAAAAATTTTTATTTTTATGTAGTCTAAACTTCAAATCAAATATAGTATGTTTAAAATTTTAATAATTTGAAAAATGTTTCAACACCATGTGTTTCAACAATTCACATTTTTTTTATTTGTTTGGTAATGATTTTTAATATTTGAGTAAATTATTAGGTATAAATTTTAGTTTTTTTCTCATGATAAGTAATCTATCAACGTTCAAGAATACTCTTATACAGTTTAAAAATAATAAGATAAGATGATTAGTAGTATTCTTTTTTTTTTTTTTTTTTTTCTTTTGATTTTCAGTTTTTTAGTAAATTATAAAGATGCAAATTTAGTTTTTTTTTTTCTCATTATAAGTTGAATATTTTCAATTCGATAATATTTGAGATCTTTAAATTCAATTTATTATTTATATGACTACATCGAATTTACTGAAAAAGGCTACTGAATTTATCATGAAAAAGACTATCTATGTGGTTTTTTTTTTATTTTGATTTAAAATTTAAAGAATTGGATTGATGTGAAATTAGTGGTTTTAGCTTTAAAATTTTTTCTTTTTGCTGATTGGGAATTCGAATTTTAACGTCAAACATAAACAAAAAGTTCAAGATTTTCTTTTTGTTCACTATTGTATTTTCTTTTATTTTAAAATTTCTTTCTATTGTTGAAAGCTTAACTTAATTCTTTATTCTAACTTCTTCGATTTATTGCTGGTTGAAAGAAGAACATCGTGGTATTTCATTGATTTGTTTGAGTTGTTTACTTGGTTTTATTTTTTCATTTTATATTTTGCTTAGCTTAGTTTTATTTTGTTTATTTTTGCAGGGATTTAAGTGTGTGTAATTTCAAAGGATTTAAATATGTTTTATGCAATGATGAAATAACTATTATGTTTTAATAGATTTTTTAATTATATATTTCAAATTAGATAAATTTCTACAAAAAAAAATTAAGTATTTATATTATTTTAAATATGCCTCTCTAATAGTGCCACTTATGTAATGCTCATTTTATATCTTTTGCTTAGCTTAGTTCAAGTATCTGATTATATGATCTCGGGAGTGTATAATACCGCTGAAGTGATAGATATGCTATCTTCTCAATGATTCAAAACTATCACATTCGGCGGTTACTCATGATATCACGTGGGTTCCTCATGACTACCTGAGTCTGTGATAGAGCACGCTCGTCACCTCCGATCTCGCTCTCTACACTCGGTCGAATCGCGCTTACATGACGCCTCCTACTGTTTAAGTCATATATATAATATATAGAAAACCAATGTGTTCCTGACAAATCAGAATACACATCATCATCATCATATGTGATGTCTCTCTATATCGATAATGTACCTTACCTCTATACATTTCATCATTCTGTTTATCTCAGCATAACATTATGTTTTAATAGATTTTTTAATTATATATTTCAAATTAGATAAATTTCTACAAAAAAAAATTAAGTATTTATATTATTTTAAATACCTACAAGACTTTATATCTAATAATAATTTCAATCACTTTTTTCCTAAAAAATGAATTTTTATAATTTACTCAATATATATATTTTATATTTAAAATGAAATATATAATTATATGCAACCGTGCGAAGCATGGAGCACTGCCCAGTGAAAAAAGAAAGTAGGAACACGTTGGGCTGGACCTGAAACAACAGAGTTAGGCTGATGTTTCACAGGATGGGCTCAGTGGCTGAATGTTTCAGCCCAATCGCACGCGCCGAAGGCCTGGAGTAACCGGCCGATGCCGTCATGCGTGCACGGTTGAACGCGAAGGCCAACTTCAGATGTTTCTCTCTTTTTCATTTTTTTTTTCTCAGTAGAATCAGTTAAGCTGGTTTTTCAATAAACCTCAAAGCTGTTGGCCTCTAGCTACTGGTCATCCTTACTGAAACTTGTTTATGTTCCGCGCCAAATCTTCGATATGTAGAATCAATTCCTTCACCAACAAAATTTTGATAAGAAGAAACAGCTAAGCAGAGATCCTAGAGGAAAAATGGGGATAGATGATGCTCCATTGGACGATAAGGCGAAGAGAATGAGAGATCTGCTATCAAGCTTTTACTCTTCCGATCCTGCAATGTCTTCCAGCAATTCTTAAAAGTTCGCTTCCTTAGATGCTATCAACACCACCTCATTCGACGCAGATCAGTACATGAATCGTTCGCTTCCTTAGATGCTATCAACACCACCTCATTCGACGCAGATCAGTACATGAATCTCTTGGTAAGCACCATAATATATTGACCCTGATTGAATTGAATTTGATTTAGTGTTGTTTCGAGGTTTAAAACTGAACTCGGGGCATGGGCAATGGCAATTTAAGGTTTGTCTTGAAATTTAAAGTATAGGAGGAAGAGAGAGTGTTAATTAATAGTTTTAATGCAGGCGCAAAAATCAAATTTGGAAGGGCTTTTGCAGAAGCATGTGGAAATGGCGGCTGAGATTAAGAATCTTGATACTGATTTGCAAATGTTAGTGTATGAAAATTACAACAAGTTCATCATTGCGACTGATACAATTTGAAAATAAGGATAACCATAAGAAGATGAATAGCATTTTCTCCTCTCTTTTTTATTTTATTTATTTTGTTATTGGTAAAATTTTTCTAGGTAAAAAATTTTATATCCTTCTCTATCAGTTCAATATTGTTAGGTGAAGAACATTTGAGATAAAAATTATACAAAATTAATTTTAAGATAAATCTTTAACATTAATTTTATTTTTCTCTGTATTACATGTTGGATATAGCGATAAATGTCACTATTTCAATCTCCTGCACAAAAATTATAATATTATTATTTTTCCTTTCAAGTTTATCACGTGATAACTCACACATAATTAAAATAAAACTTTTAATTCTACCTCGCACATTTAAATCATACTTTTTATATTTTATTGCATTTTTTATTTTTAGCAATTTACTCATATGTATTTTACACCTGAAATGAAAATTTCAAATACTACATAACTCATGGTTACTTACAAACGAAGAGAGTTCTAGAACACTTTTTTTTTTTTTTTTTTTTCTTCTCTCTCTCACCTCTGGATCTGACACACACTCTCTCCTCGAGATTATGGCTCTCACTCCACTCACGTGCGCATATGGATAGCTCCAACCTCACTTATCAGCCAATATACACTCTTGCCGGACTCAAACTCAAGTAGCATAATATATCCTCAACCGCACCAGACCGATATAGTGAGTGTCGACCTCTGCATACATAGTGTGGTGCACTTTGGGGGCTCGTCTGCTTACGTGAAATCTGTAACCTCTCTTCTTGTCGTTCTCTCGTGCTATATCTGACTTCGTGCGCGGAGATATAGTCGTTTAAAGTATTGTTGCTCCTACGTCTTTTTTTTTTTTTTTTTTGAAAGGGAGTTCTAGAACACATTTGTTTTGTCTCTTCTTGTGATTTTTGTGTAAGATTTCCAGAATCAGCAATTCGTGCTTTAAAGTATTGTAGTTTTGTAAATAATTTTTTTTTTTTTACTCAATACATAAACTCACCCCGTATTTTTACAAAAAAGTCTCGTGGCATCCTCAACTTTCACTTTAAACTATTTAACATTTCAACTTATAAAATTATATCCGTTAAACACTTCAATTGATCTATTGAATATTTCAATTTATAAAATTAGATCGATTGAATACTTATTTAATAATTGAAAGATGTGAAAATTATTATTTTAAAGTTAAATTAACTATATATCAAATTAATATTTTGCACATAAAAAAATCTTAAAAATTTGTTATTTCTAACAACGAAGTCATTTGTTATTTCTAACAACGAAGTCTGAGATTATTATGAAAAGAAAAGTTGAAGCTATCAAAAGATCGATTTTAATATTTAGACTGCCGCAAAATTTTTTTATTGAATTTCAAGAGTCAACTATGTATTCAGCTAATATTTTTTGCATTTGCATGCCGGACTGGATCCTTACGAACCTGTCTAGCAACCAAACTCGCAATTCAGGTATTCAATGGGCTTTTGTCTTTGAAATAGCATGTCGGAAGCTGTGGCACAAAATTTAATCATGAGCATGCAGAAGCTGAAGAGTAAGTGAATGTTCTGTTTCTAAATACTCACCATACATAAAATTTTAAATCCTTTCAAAAAATTATTAAATTTTATCTATTAATTATATTATTTTTAATTTAATATATTCAAACACTAAATTTTTGTTGAAACCACAAATGTGACGAGTATTTTAAAATATACTACTTTCGTTCCCTAATATTTGTTACGTTTGAAAAAATAGTTTATTTTAAAATACTTGTCACATTTGTGATTTTAAAGAGTAATAAATCTTTTTTTTTTCATATTTACCCTTTGTACATGATCAATAATTATTATTTCAATTTACTTTGTACATGATCAATAATTATTATTTCAATTTAATAATTTTTTTAAAAAATTAGTAATAAATTAAAAGTAATATAATCAATTTAATTGTTATAAGTATTATAGAATAGAGACAATATTTCTGTTCAAATGTGAGAAATGTGAATAAATATGGTAAGCAACCAAAAAGAAACAAGTGGATTGCTTTGTCTCCACCACCTTTAGATGTCTACAAACAAACTCAATACTGGTGGGCTCATTCACTAAAAATTTGGCTACGAATTTAGGAATTAAAAACGTGATAATTCTGCATAACTAGAAATTATAGCCACTATCAAATTTTTGTGGACACTTCCTACCTAAATATGCTAGTTCCTATCTATTGGGGTCTCATATTCTTAATTTAATCCATAGTTACTTTATGATATTAGCGTAGCACACACCTGTAATTGTACTTGAGAGCTATGCTCTTCTCCATAGTACCACATAAAAAAAAAAAAAAAAAAAAAAAAAAAAAAAAAAAAAAAAAAAAAAAAAAAAAAAAAAAAAAAAAAAAACTAGGATATATATATATATATATATAGTTGAAATATTAAAATTTTAGTATATGAGTACTTTATAGGACTTTATATATTTTAAAATATTAAAATTTTAATGTCTATTTTAAAAATTATAAATTTGACTCTATATGGCGAGTACATGCCCACCCCAGACAGCGGTAGCTCAGCCTCTGACCATTACTGATAACTATAAAGATTACTAAATTAAACCAAAAATTAAGTTAAAAACTTTGAGTTATTTTAAGTCTTTTGTTTTTAAAACAAAAATTTACATCTTAAATTATACTAGTACAATTCCGAAACAACTCTCACTTGAAATTCATCATAAAATTTAGAACTTTCCTTATTCCTGCCTTTAGCAAGCTTTAAATTAATAATAATTTAATAATTTTCACTAATTAAAAATAAAACGTGGAGGCTACGTGCACCTGCTGCCAATTATTCAACCAGATTTTTCAGTTGAAGAAATAAAGTTGACTGACTCCAATTCTTTATTTATCATCTTCTCCAACCAAACCAACCATTAAACCGCATCTGTCGAAGCTTCCCCACTCCAGAAAATACCAAAAATTGACGCCTGCCCAAACAATTCCTTGGCAATTTCGCCTCCCCGCATAAACAACATTAAAACCACAAAATTAATCTATTAATAATACAAATCATCAAATTAATCTCAGCCATACACGTAAGTCACTTCTCCTTCCAAACTTGAACCAAGTCATCAGTCCAACCTCTAACGTGCCTATTCGGACCACCGCGTTTTCTCCAGATGCTTCCGATTCTCCTTCTTTATATACAGAGTTTTCTTTCCTAATTATCCAATTCAAATCAAAAGCTAATTACCAGCGAAATCGGAGAAGATATTTAATTAAAAATTTCACAATTTTCTTTTGATCTCAGCCGAGTATCGTGGTGGTTTCCGACATCTGATGGCGATGATGATGTCAATTTTCAGCTCCTTTGACGCCTTAGGCGCGGAATTTTATGGACAGAAACTCGAGTATCCTGCAAATCAAGAAACGAAACCTAATACAGAGTCAATAAAGAAGAGCAGAACAGAAGGGAAAAGCTTACCTTTGTCTCCGGAGAGCAAAAAAGGATCAGCGCCACCACCGCCGCTGCCGCACCTGCAACAGGAGCGGGGGAGTCCAAGATTTGCGCTGGAATTGGATGGGGTGCATTGTTTCGAGACCATACTTCCTTATTGAATGATCTGCTGAGAACGGATCTGTTCTTTTCTTTTTGATTTCACTTCTTTTGGTTGTATATTACGGTTCGATTTGCATTTGGTGAGGAATTCTTTTATTCAGTACAAGCGGAACTTACGCTTTGCTGCGGGATATATATTATATGTTACTATTATAATTTTATAAAAAATTTTACTATATTAAAAATTTATTATACCTTACTGATTCCATAATTTTCACTAATAAATTTATAATTTTATAACAAATTTTACTATATTACAAATTTATTATACCTTACTGATTCCATAACTTTCATTTTTAAAATATATTTAGAAAACAGTTAAAATCAAGAGAATGAAAGTAAAATAATCACAAGAAGTAAGGGAAAAATTCATAATTTAAGAAGAGAACAATTATGAATTTTTATTTTTAAAAATTTAAAATTTTTAAAATTTTAGTATATATATATATACACGAAAGAAATGCTTAAAAATTAGAAAATTTGTATTAAAAGAAATACTCTCTTTTTTGAGCATTTCTTTTTTCTTTTTATAAATTTTCTAATGTTTTATAAATTTTTTGAATATTAAAAATTTACCCAAAGAGCAGGTGAAAAATTTTGTATTTTTTGAATGGAAGATTTGCATGTCGCAATATGTTTTTATTCCAAGGAATTATGCAATCTGATATGGAGGTGTATAGTATTGGGTCCTTTTAACCAATTAAGAGAAAATAATTACGGCAGCGGAAAAATAGAAATGGGACACACAGAAATTTACGTGGTTCACCTTTAACTGTTTAGGGCTACGACACATAGAAATTTACGTGGTTCACCCTCAACTGTTTAGGGCTACGTCCACGAGACAAACTCCAAATAATTCTTCTACTATTAAAAATAATAGGTGCAAAAAGAGAGTAATACAAAATAGTGGCACACAAAGTATTTCCCAAAAACACCCCATAATATTTCCTCACTATTTTTCTCTCCCCTAGTTTTAGGAAACCCATCCTAAAACTAGAGAAGTGGACGCGTTAATCACGCGTCCACCGAAAAACAAATTGAGATCCACCGAAAAAATTTTCTTCTCTTCATTTATTTTCAAGCTGTGTGGATCCCACATGTCGGAGGGACCTACCACGTTTTCTTTTCTTCTCCTTTTTTTTATATTTTATTTTCAAATGTGGGTCCCATTAAGTGGGCACCGCCACAACAAATCTCCCCCTGCACACTCAAATGGGGACGTTAGCCATACCGGCTATCTTTCTGCAAGTGACAAGTTTCTCCGTAGGTAAAGCTTTAGTCATCATATCAGCGCCATTATTATCAGTGTGAATCTTTTCAATCTGAAAT